GTAGCCCTGTGGCTGCCCTGGCATTCGATCCAAAGTTTAATAAAACATGCCAGACCCCAAAGTGGTCACCTTAACATAAAAATAAAAAATAAAAAATAAAAAAAACCAACTCTAACCTACTAACCTATATTTGTTGCCCACTTATATTATAGATTAACTGACTAGGATTGTTAAAAATATTGAGTTTAATAAAGAATAAAAATATTTATTTAGTAAAAAATAAAGAATCAAGTATATTTGATATTTTAAATAATAGTCAGCAAAATTATCAGCTGGACATTTTTAATTAATGAATAGGCTATGAGATCTTGGGCAAAATTAATCGATTCCGAATTCGTCAACAAAATCTGGCCAATATGAAAATATGCGCGCATTAAATAACTTTATGTTACTAGCTGATATTTTTTTGGCTATAAGTATGTGCAAAATATTTTAGTTGCTTGTTTTATTATACGGTTCATATTTTACTAATTTTTAGGGTTCCAAACCGGTTTGAAAATCTCTATCCGTGACCTAACCGGTTACCCGAAACTAAAACGGGTCACCTGGATAATCGGGTGGCCCGCGATTAATATTCCAGACACTTTCATCATATATGTAAATGAGTTAAATTTATTTGATTATCCAACCAGATTTAGTGCCAACGGGTGACCCGTCTTGATATTTAAACCGGTTTGTCCAAACATGGCGCGGTTGGTAATTTTTCCGGGTACGCGATTATCCGGATCAGAGCTATAGAGATGGCCTTTCTTTGTTTCGCGCATTTGCTTTGAGTGGTCAATTTAGCCAATGCTTTGTTCCGCTAAGACTTTGAGTATTACACATTGATTCGGTTTGAATCCTGCTATTAAGTTTTAAAAAATCTTTTTTTGTATCCTTGTTTAAAGTGGTATGATTTATTCTCGCATATTCAAATTATAATGATATCTACATGATATGTGTAAGCTCGGTAGCTGAAACATAATATTCAGAGTTCTCTGGTTTTGTTAACAAAGTTGATATAATTGTTATTTTACTAAAGCATTAAGTTAAAAAAAAAAAATAACAAAAAAGTTTCTGATATAACTTTTTTTTATAAAATCAATTATGTCCAAACAAATTTCCAGTTTTAACCAAGGTGTTCGTTTTTAATAATTATGATAATAAGGAAAAATGCAGGTTTTGTACACTTTAACATGCATATTTTTTTTCTTTTTTTTTTGCAATCATGATAGTCCGGATTATGGTCCGGAAATTAAGTCTTCGATGATTTTTTCTAACGATAAGATTTTATTTTTCAATTAAACAACGATCATATAAAGTAATATTTAACGTAATTTACAATGTATATACAACACATAGAAATAATACAGCTAATTTGAAGTTTGGCATTTTAAAAATATAACTCTATTTCTGTTTAATCATTTGGTTTTAGATTATTTGTTTAACCATTTGGTTTGTTGTTTTGTAACATTCTTCAATAAATTATGTACTGTACAGCACAGTCGACTCTGGATATAATGAACTCAAAATTTTTGAATTTCATAATAGTTCGGTATAAAAAGTGCCATGTGTTTTTAATAAAATATAGTACTGTAATTTTTTATAACGAACATTTTTTTTCTTCCAGAATCTTTTCTTTATAGAAAGAGTTGACTGCACTTCTTTTATGGTTAATCTTTTATTATACTTCATCTTAGATTAATATTTTCTTTCTGTACTTGATTTTTTTTTAAATTGATGCGGCAAAACTCTAATTTTTGACCTACTTCGACCGTAATAAGGAATCTGGTTGAAATAGATAAGGCACTAACTTGCCCATTGTTAAATATTTAGATTTTTTATATTCTTTTTCGAAATATTCCATACTGTTAAGAAGTTAATTAATATCACCAACGATACGTTTAAAAAACTTTTCAACAGGCATTATATGCTTATTTAGATCTTTATCGCTATGTAATTATTAACTAGATTTTTTGAATTATTATGAATAAAATACAAACCAATTTCAATATTTTCTTTAAACGGCTTATTTCCACACTTATTTATTGCAATTTTCAACCTGATACTTATAAGCTAACGGAAATATTTGCTGAAGTAGCATAGGTTCGATATATTCAAAGTTTATTTAGATTTCAATTTGATGGTTTTTTGTAATTAAAAAATAACTTGTTCATAAAGAAAAGACAAACGAAAAATATCATATTAAGCTAACAATATCGATCATTAACTTTTTATGTAAGTATGCAATGCAAATACGTACGTACGTAATTTAGTTTCTAGTTCTTAAAATTCCGACCTATCTTTCCGGGTACACATTTACTGGGTACTTTTTTTTGTTCACCTTTACGTAATTACTGTCGACAAAGGTAAGTTATTGGCGAAACGATCTAATCCTCATTTTGATCTTCAATCATTATGCGTTCACTCTTCATGTGATAATAATCCTCCATTGTAGGCCTAGCCAGTAGTGATTCTTTCTTTCAGGTTATGATAGTAAAAGAATTCAATAATATCAAAATTTAGTTCCGTTTTAAATCGCATGACATATCGTATGATCTTAAAGGAAGGTTATTTCTTTATACTAATAGTATTAGCCTAACTCTAGCGATAGCGATAGTCGATGTTTTTTCATAATAATTATTATTACATCACCTATATGTCATAGTTTCAACTTTTTATTTAAAATGTAATAAAAAACGTAGTCTTTCGTTATTATTTTTTACCGCAAAAACTTTTATTGAAATGGTTTACTTATGTCATATTGTAACTGATACTCAATTAGATAAAGAAAAGGATGAACGTAGCGAACAGGTTTGTAGCTTTGATAAAGTAGTTCGTTACTGAATCTTTAATAAATGCATGTATATTATTTGTACGGTAACAGATTTTCTCAACTTCGGTTTATGGTTCTCGTTGGACTACTGAACCTATTCCAAAGTAAGAACGATTAAATTTGTAATGGGTTTTTTTAATTACCTTAATCAATAAACTTATGTAACTATTTTTAATAGATATTCATTACCTGACAAAGAAATGCCCTCACATGTCGCCTATAAGCTCATTAAAGATGACCTTCAGGTATAATTATATTTTCGCTAATCATTTAGGATAAAATAATATATTTGACTTTTACTTCTTTGTAACAAGTTGGATGGTAATCCGGTGTTGAATTTGGCATCTTTCGTTACTACTTACATGGAAGATGATGCTGAACAGTTAATGAAAGAAAATCTGTCAAAAAATTTTATCGATTTTGAAGAGTATCCTGTGTCTGTTGAATTGCAGGTACGAAATTCATTTCGAATTATAATTATACAATGATAATACAAATTTATTTTACAACTTGCATTAGAATCGATGCGTTAGCATTATTGCTCGCCTCTTTAATGCTCCAGTGGATGAATCAATAGGTGTTTCAACTATAGGCTCTTCAGAAGCCATTATGCTTGCTATATTATCAATGAAAAGGTTATGGAAAAACAGGAGAATTTCCGAAGGAAAGCCTGTCGATAAGCCGAATTTAGTAATGGCGGCATCGGGTATTTATAAACTAATTTCATTTCGATACAATTCACGTGACAGTGTTTAATAATAAATCTTTTTTACCTTTAACATTAATTGTTTAATAGTTCAAGTTTGCTTGGAGAAAGGTTTTTTTATTTTTCTTTATATTCTACTACAATTTTCAACTTTCTTGTTGACCAACAAAATAATTATAGCCACTAGATATTTTGAAATCGAAGAAAAATTCGTTTATCTAACAGAAGATACATACATTCTACAACCAGAAAAGGCTGTTGAGCTTGTAGACGAAAACACAATCGGTGTTTGTGTTATATTAGGGTAATATACCATTCTACATGTCTATTAATAGTTTTAATTTTAATTTTTGTTACTTCCAAATTAGATCGACATTCACTGGACATTATGAAGATGTGAAATCAGTTAATGATCTTTTACTAGCCAAAAATCAAAAAAATGGTTGGGATGTGCCGATTCATGTTGATGCTGCAGCTGGTGGATTTGTTGCTCCTTTTGTGAACCCCGATCTTGTTTGGGATTTCAGGTTAACGTCTTTCATTAGTTTAGATATTTACAATGATATAGTGGCAGTCATTTCCCCCACAGCTAAGGTTAGACTAATTTAGAATTAGTGTTGGTATACATTAGGTGTTGGGGAAATCATATAAAACATTGCACTACATGAATTAAAATTTCAATTTTATAATTTCTTAATGGTAAGTCATTTAACGTATGGGTTGCTGTCGATAGAAAACGAGCAGATGGACTTTTTTAAAAAAAAAAAAAAAATTAACAGCTCCTCACTTGATGGATTTTAAAGCTATTTTAAAGTCACATTAACTAAAAGAAAACTTGAGATCTAAGTTTTATTTTAGATCTTGAATCATTAAAATAGCTTTAAAATTCATCGAGCTATAGGCCATTTGGTTTTTTCAAAAAAGAAAAAACCAAAAAAAGTCAATCTGCCGGTTTTTATTGACGTCAGCCCATATGTACCGCGTTTTCGCGAAATAACGGCACGCGCCCTATTAAACCAATGGCCAAAATTCGAAATTACATCCCTGCGCGTTATTTCGCGAAAATACGGGTATATTTTTTCACTTAATTCGTCTAATAGCTAATTATAAAATTTATGTTGTGAATTGCATAATTCTGGCTTGCACCATGATTTATTGACTTCAGGATTATAAATTCAAAATTTTAATTCATGTGCAATATTTTGACTGCCACTGTATTAATGGTAGGTTCATGGTATATTAAATTGCTCGTATAATCATAGACTCGAATTGGTCCGATCTATAAACGTTTCGGGTCATAAATATGGATTATGTTACCCGGGTATTGGATGGGCCATTTGGAAATCACGAAAGTACTTGCCTGAAGAGTTGATTTTTAACGTGAATTATCTTGGATCTGATCAAGTATATACAATTTAATTATTTATAAATTTGTGATTAATTATAAACCACCGAAAATAAGAACTCAACAATTGAGGGCATTATTAAATTACCTGTGTTCGAAATTATCGAATAGAGCTTCTGAAAATCGAGACTGTGGACTGTACCCATAACTCTATTATTATAAATCTGACTTATGTGCGTGCTTTATTTTCTTAGGCTTCTTTCACCTTAAATTTTTCCAAAAGCGCTTCAAACGTGATTGCCCAGTATTATGTGCTAATTCGACTTGGACGTCAAGGATTTACCTCGATTATGAGAAATTTGATGTGTATTGCTGATTATCTGGCTGCCAGGCTAGAGGCTACAAATAAATTTACTATTTTGAGTGATAGAAATGGTAACGGATTACCTCTTGTGGCTTTTAAGTTGAAAGCCAAGGATATACATTACGATGAGGTTTGTAGAATTCTTTAATTCAATGCCATAGATATAACTTATGATATCCATAAATTTTCCATAATCTTGCTAGTATGATGTTGCCCAACGTATTCGTGAACATCAATGGATTGTACCAGCTTACACTATGGCACCGAATATCCAACATATTAAATTATTACGCGTTGTTGTGCGTGAGGATTTTTCGCGTGAACGATGTGACATTTTTATTACAGATTTGATGCATACTATTGATTTTTTGGATAAATTAGATAAAAATAGTACTTATTTGAAGAGGTATTTTTTATAGTTATAATATTTCTTTCATATAAGTTTTACAACTTAATTAAATGCTTGAAATTTTTATTAATAGAAATGCAATCGAAAGTTGGAAAACTTTAAAAAATGCCACGATTTTAGGATTTAAAAATCAATCTCATAAAACCAATGGAGTCTGCTAATCGATGGACTTTTAAACTATTTTAACTGTTATGAATATTTGAGTTCTTGGCTTCATGTAAATGATTTAGAGCTTATTAGCAGTCAGGATATGATTGAGGATTCGAAGGCCTCACTTACCTTTATAAGTCGAATTTGTTGTCAATAATGTTCAAACTTATATTATTTTTAAATTTCCTTTTCATATCAAAAATAAAATTAATAAAAAATTTTTTTTAAAAACCAAATTCTAAAACTTGCCAGAGGCACGTAGTTAATTAGCAAACTTGCCAGAAACGTGTTCGATACGCGGTTAATTAGATTTTTTAAAGGTTTCTATCATGCTCTTGAGCAAGGCAACAAATACCGCATTATAATTTTTTTTTGTACTTTAAGAATTTTTAATATAAAATAGACAAAATCCTTGTTTTTTTTTTTTTTGATAGTTTCTTACCGAAAATTGCAGGCAAACTTGCCTGCAAATTTTTGATCAAAATTGGTTTTAATAGTACAACTATATTCTTATTACCGGGAAAACTACTTGCAGGAGCTTTTAGCCAATACCATTTTTGCCTAATTTTTAGTTTTTTCACCTTCGGGCGGATGGATTGTAACACATCAATAATAATCAATACTAAGTATTACTAAGTAAAGTTACTATTTCCTGCATGAAGATGTCTTATGACAAGATCATGGCTCCATCAAGCAAAGCCCGAAGAAATATTCCTCGGGCGCCATTAACATCTCTGTCTATTTTTATGCCACAACTCTTGCATTTATATGTTTCTGATCCTCTAATATTCTGAATATTTCCACACCAACTACATGTCTTTGACGTGTAAGCTTCGTTTTGAATTACCACACGAGTTCCTTTCTCTTCTGCTTTTGAAATCAATTGTTGTCGAAATTTGTAATGCGACCAACAAAGCATCTTTCTAACTGTTTTCCTTGTTATTTTTCATGATTTCCTGTTCACCATGTCTGAAACCTCAAAAGGGGAGATAATGATTATGTCAAACTCATCTGTTAAGAACTTGATTGTTTTTCGATGGATTTTGTTCTGAAGTTGTTTAATTTTTCATTTCATACAAAAGATGGCTTTGTCAACATGTAATGCTTTCTTCTTCTTTCATTTTGAGATTGAAGATGTCAATCTGTCTTTTTTTGATATTAGGTCATCCATGTGTTATATAAATGAAAAATACATTCTATATTATATTTTTCTATCTTTCCCACACCTTTTGTCAAAAAATACTATGTGAATGGAGTATGAACTCCTGAATCAATTGAAAATACATGAACATCTGCTTGTGTTTCACAGATCTGTTTCAGTGCTTCATATATCCAATAAAATATCCATTTGTTTGTTTTATATATATATATAAGTTTACAATCACAATCTATTTGTTATGATAATTATTTGTTATTCTTTCTCTTTTTTCAAAGTGAAATAGGTGTAAGTCACACTTTTCATCTTCAAAATCATTAGGTTTGCATCGTTTTGATAATAAAATCGAAGAATTATAAAGATGTATAATATAAAAATGATTCTAATCTTTTTTTGAAAAGTTTTGTACACAAATAGTCATTGTTTGTTATAAATCTTTCTTAGATTTAAATAATAAAAATGACTTTAATTTCTATTTTTTTGTATTATATTTTTTATAGCTATTAATATTTCATTAATGGTGTTACAGGACGGAGGACACCAGAGGGTTTAAATGGGTAATCCCATAGTTGAATTGCAGGTATAGCATTTAGTGTAGAACCTTCGGGTGTTTACTTAAATAGGCAACCAAAAGTTGCACATGTGGCTAAAATGTATTCTCGTTAACTAAGATTATAATACTAAAAATACCTAATAAAATTCACTGGTTCGTGACATTGCGAAGGTTAAAAAAAAAAATATATATATATATATTCATTAATACTCTTGTCAACTATATTTGCAGGTACTTTATTATATAAACCTTTAAGACATAATTCTAACCATGCAACTGTTCATAGAAATTTATATTCTTCTTATATACAGATCTTTGTAATTTTTTATCTTTTTTATTAAGATCTTTTTCTTCTTTTATATTTATATATAATTTAAGTTTTTTATTGAGTATATAAAGTTTTATTTATTTAAAATTTTTAGAACTGTTACAAAAACAATGATTTTTGTTTCATCTAACAACAGTATTATAAACATATCTCATCAATCTAAGCCATCTCTTCAAGATTTTCTTCTGAAGATAATTTGGATACGTTTTGATTGATAATATTTAATTTACAAATATTTCTTCTTTTTGTTTTTTTTAGCTTCGTGTTTTTATTATTTTTTTTTTGTTTTTGATTCTCTTTAGCACATAGTTGCTCTTCTTTCTTGCATTCAACAGATAAAGGCAGTGTTAATTGCAATAATATCTTGTGATTCTTTATGTTCGTCGGAACCTGATTTGTTGAAAAAAATCACGAGTTTTGTAGAGTATAATGAGAACATAAATTCAATGAGGTTAAATGTGAATTTGTAGAGTTGGTCATAGTGGGTAACCACAATTTCTAAGACCATTCTTTTACTTGATTGTTTCAGTAAGGTTTTAAGTCCATTTCTTTTGAAGTTGATACCTAACTAGACATAATTGATAAACCTATAATTCAGTAATCTGGATTTAAGAATCTGTTTCTGTCTTTTATAATCTTCTTTTTGTTTGCTATTTAAGACACATGTGTATAGAAAACCTTTCTTTTTAGTAACTGAGGTGGTTGAAGTATCATTTTGAGTAATCAACTCTGGT